GTCCCCCGTTTCTCCCTGGCAAGTTCTCGCCGACAAAGCGCGGAAGCAACAATGGAAAAGCAATTTACGGGAAACTGAATCGATACCCAGTTTCCCCGGGAAAATATGTCCCCCCTCCCAGGCGTCTTTCGCCGTTCCGTACCCGTGAACCTCGCGGTAAATGCATTTCACAGCGACGGTTCCCTCTGTTACAGGCAACTTTTAGCACCGAATCTCCAGCAAAGAGACTTTTTAGTCAAGGGCGCGGAACAAAGTTCTAAACAGGTAAGAAACCGGCGGACAGACAACGCGAAGGGGGATGCGCGTCGCATTCGTCGGCAACGTTATCCACGTCGAGGAATCTGTTGCAGGAGATAGAGCACTGCTACTATCACGGCACCATCAGGGATTATCCCGGGGCCAGCGCTGCCTTTCACACGTGTAACGGTCTCAGCGGTGTCATTCATTTAGGCAACGAGACCTTCGTCGTTCATCCGTTCTACGGCGGCGATCTGTCGGTCAGTTTCACTATTGTCGCGAGACCCTTCGAACGGCTATAGTAATAGAACAGGTGGCAAGCTCGGCGGGGAATGGAGAGTTTAGGAGGAACTCGTTCAACCCTTTTGTCCCTGAGTATAGTCTGAGTCTGAACCAAAGACTGAGGCACTGCTGCTTCTGAGTGGAATTGAAGCTTTACAGTGGGACATAAGACATACTAATGATAGTCAATCTTAAGCTGAGATGTACGGTTTCTTTTTGTGTCTAGGCGTTTCTTAGCTTCCAAGTGAAATTGAAGCTTCTCAGTGAAGAAATAAGACAATTGCTAGTAATAATAGTCAATCTTAAGCAAGGATGCAGTTTCCCTTTGTATCTAGAACGTTTCCTAGCTTGCAAGTTGAAGCTTTCCACTGAAAGAAACAGGACAAGCACTAATAATAACAATCAGTCATAGCAAAAATCTAGTTTCCCTTTGTATCTAAGCATTTCCTAGCTTCCAAATGAAACTGAAGCTTTACAATGGAAGACATAAGATAACCACCAATAATAATAGTCAATCTTAAGCAAAGAAGTGCTAGTTCCCTAGCTTCCATTAAAATTGAAACTTCCCAGAAAGAAACAAGACACTAATAACAGTCATTCATAAGCAAAGCTATGAACCATTTGTAAAAGTGGCTTAAGTGAATTTCTCAAAAAACTCAAGAGCTAATCGCACAACAGTTCTAACCCTACATAATCTTTCTATTCTCTAACCGTTCTCTAATCTTTACTAACTCTCTACTGAAGTCACTCTCGAAATAAACGGTTCATACGTTCCACACTCTCCCTTTGTCTCCAAGGCGTTTCCTAGCTGTCCATTGAAAACGTCCCCGGCGCCTATGCATTCCGGACGAAAGGGTTAATCATTTCCGCGGGCGGAAACGCGCGGTCGCGATCTCGGTAATTGGAGAACGAGAGATCCGAAATGGGTCATTCGGACCGGTCCGCTGGCTTCCACGGCGTTAATTTCCAATTGGGGAGGGACCTCGCGACGACAGGGGCCGGAGTCCTCGTGACGCTGGACGTTTCGGACGCACGACCCCCTGTGTGTTTGACTGGAAAGGATCCGTTTGCCAGTGTCGCGTTGCCGCGTTCGCAAACACGCCCGGTCCGGTTTCGTTGGCGCGGCAGACGAAGCGGGAGGATCGAGTTAAACCGGCTCCGACTCGTAAGCAAGTAATCGCCGCGGTAACGAAACCGGTTCACCTTGTTCCGCTGCCGGCTTCCGTTGCAGTCGCGTTGTCTCCTCCGGAAGACAACGTTTGTCTACGTTTCTTCGTCGACACGTCTTCTTCGTACAGCTGCCCGCTTCCGCAACGACCTAAACAAGTTGCAACAATTAGAATCTCTTTGGTAGCAGTTGAATGAGGAATTAGAGAAAAGTGTAGAGAATGGAAGTTTGATTAACTCTAGAACTACCAAATTGATATTTTTAAATGTTTATACAGAAACTCTATTGACACTTCAATTGACTTAGGATTCCATTTGTTTGTTGAGAAATCAATTAGTTTATCTAGAGAAGCAGCTATCTCTTCAACTGAGCTAGAGTCAATTTGATACATTCGGTGGTTCTAGCGTTGAATTGCAGTTAGGTGGAATTATTTGCAGAAATGCTCCTCAATGATTTTGATGATTTTCAGATATATTGACACGTTCATAGAGAAAAGTGTAGAGAATGGAAGTTTGTTTGACGCTAGAACTGCCAAGCAAATTGATATTCTTAAATGTTTATACAGCTACTAACGCTATTGACACTTCAATTGACTTAGAATTGCATTTGTTTATTAAGAAATCAATTAGTTTATCTAGAGAAGCAGCTATCTCTTCAACTGAGTTAGAAGAATTTAGGAATGGTCAGTTTGACACATTTGGTGGTTCCAGCGTTGAATTGCATTATTAGGTGGAACTATTTGCAGAAATGCTTAGCCCTTAATGATTCTGATGAGTTCAGAAAGATGACTGATAGAATTCAGTATAGTAGCAACTGGAGCCTTCCACTGGCAACAAGTAAAGGAAAGTTATTTAGAATCACGTCCCTAATATATCTGAGAATCATCAAAATCAGAGCAGGTATACCTTGATGTTTGAAATAATGATTTCATCGAGTGAACTAGTGATTCGATTCGGCGAGCCACGATGTTGAATATGTCGAGCCACAAAGCATCACTTTGAGATTTTCGTTGCAACGCCGGACGAGCGCGTCATTGTCCGGTCCACCGTTTGTTTCCTGGAACAAAGACATCATTATTAATAAGGTCATCGTTATTTTCATCGCTCACGTTGTTACGATTACCGGAGATGAGAAAACGGTCGGCGATTCTTGAGAAACCGGGACAATTTCTTCTCTGTACGGCCTCAATATCGAGACATCTACGACAAGAAGAAAATAGTCTGGCCGTTTCCCTCCCTTCTTTTTCTTTAAATCCGCCTGACGTAAGCTGAAAGCACGAGCCAAGTGAAACGTTGTTCATCTATGCGCGAGGCTTCGTTATTATTCATAAAGAGACCTCGAGTAATACATACAACGGAACGAAGGAAGAGATGAGAAAAAAGATTTTCATGATTTTCCTGATCCTGTTCGAGCTCTCTCTCTCTCTTTTCTCTCTTAACATGTTACCACTTATTTAACACTAGATCCACGGAACTCGTCAATTCGACGGATACTGAATGTTTCGACTCTTTGCACTCGAAAGTTTTTTACTAGAAATATTCAACACTCTTTGGTAAAATATATATGCTTGTTGCGACTAATGTAAATAATTTAATTGATGCATTGAGGGATAAATGTTGCTTTGATATTTCACAGAGTGATAGACAGTTTAGTATTAACCCTTTGAACTCTGTAGGCTCTAATATTGCACCAGGAATAATATTAGATATTTTAATGAATCTTACAGAAACTACCCTACAATTATTAGATCTTTCACACATCCAAATTTTGCACTAAGGAAAATAAAAGATCTAAAAAATGTTATAGCATTTTTCATTTTCGCTATGGATACTATAAAAACTAGTTGCAGTTGCTGATAGATTAGAAAACCATCTAAAAACCATCAGGCTTTAGAATTTCACTGTATCAAACCAAGTGTTCATTGAGTCACATCTTGAGTGCAAAGGGTAAAAATGATTTTGTTCACGTCGACTTCGATTCACACAATTATGAACACACATTGCAATACTCTAATTTTGAAGATACAATGTTCTTGACCTATATAAGGAAACAGTGTTCTAGAAGCGGTAGAATATAGTGTAGAATTAATTCCGTAGATCTAGTGTCAACACGTTTTGTTTTAGTAAGATTAATTCCTTTGTAACAGAGAAAAATAGTAATAGAAACAATTAACGTTTTGCTAGTACAGTACGCATATAACACTGTTATCTAGCTTCTTGTGTTCAATCTTTTGATTCAATATCAATTTTCTTACTGCAATTCAAGCAATTTGTGTTAATAGTATTATATAATATTCTTTTGTAGATCATTGATCTTGAGGTTTTCTCAATCAATTTCCCAATAATAGTATCAACTATCATCATGCAACGTGATCTGACAGTTTTATAAAATAACGAAAGACTCGTTAACCCTTTGCACTTAGAAGTTTCTCAGTAGAAATGTTTAACACATTTTGAAGACGATATTCCTTCAATCAAAATCACAAGTACATTGAGCAACAAAGCTATTTTACGCCAATATGTCACGTGTCAAGGCATTATACAAAGTTCAACATTAAATAACAGATTGTATAATTTCACCAAGGTCGAATCAAGTGGTGCACTCGTCTCCCGAGTGCAAAGGGTTAATAGAACCATCGAGGAGCCTATTTACAAGTAGGCTTCCGGTGGGTGTAGTGTAAAAAGAAAACAGAAAATGTCAAGCGAGAGGGGAGATGATCGATGGCTTCGCAGCGGAATCAGGGACTGTTCAAACTACGATTATCAATTAATTAGAAACTTGGAACTGAATCAAACGGGGCGCACCGTGCGCTAACTTCCCCTCGCTGCTTCTGCGCGCCACGCCCACCGTCAAGCGGAGATCCACGTGTAAATACTTGACACGCCGATTAAAAAGCGATAATTATCAGAAATGAACGTTCGCGTGTCTCTCTTCCATTCGGGCTCAACCTCTTGCGTTGGACAGACGTGCCACGCGAGGGATGTTTTCTTAAATTGTTAACGACGTCTTGTAATGATTAAACCACTCGATGATACTTGATATAAATATTTGTTGTTTCCTAATAAAATATTGATAACACTAATTAACGCAAAGAATCTTGCATGAATTAAAAAACAGAACTGTTCTATTTTTGTTTCACGTGTTGATACCTTACATAAGGTTTAATGATGAATTTAAAATTTTACAATTACTGTCAATCAAAGTAAAGAGAAAATTCTTTCTACAAGACGTCGCCAAATCTCTGAATTTGTCAGAGCGTTAACACGTTGACTGCCATGAAAAACAGTTTTATCAGTTATCCTTTCTATGGCAAAGATACAAAGCAAGAATTTGATATGACAATTCTTGTATTACCCTATTATCTAGTTATTGTTTTAAATCAATTATCTTCCAAGTCAATTATTTTCTTGTACTGTGAAAGCTCTGGTCATCGGTGACAGTGAACGTGTTCAAAGAGGACAGAGAAGTTTCTCTAATCGAATTGTACAGAAAGCAGCTAGTGGAGGATGTTAACTATATGCAAGCCTCTCTTTTAGCAGAAACATCCTCACGTTATATTTGAGGCTCGAACGAAGGCTGACAAAGGCTGCGCTAACTTGGGCAGCCTTGAGCGGCGTTCGAAGAACCGTCGGCAGAAGCATGTTCTGGGCCTATCGAAGAACACCTCCAATCGATACAAGAGAGACGTCCGTGAGGCAACCAAATACATCGAAACTGCCATCATTATCGATAAGGCTATGGTACTAACATTTCGTCATTCCAGGGGATTATACCCTTGAAAGATCAGCCACGAACCGTTACACATGTTACTTGACAGAAATTCCAATGAAACTATAGGATTAACACTTTACCTATCCTTTGTTATTCACGAGTCTTACTTAAACGAATCATTAACACTAGAACTACCAAACAAGTCGAAATGACTTACACCTGGTTTCTTTTTGCAATTGTTACAAAGATAACAGATGTTTCACAAACTGAATTGTAAATCAATTGAAGTCTCAACAGACTTTTGGAATTTCTATAGATAATTTAGTGTTAATATAGATATTGCCTCTATAATTTAGTGTTAATATAGATATTGCCTCTATAATTTAGTGTTAATATAGATATTGCCTCTATAATTTAGTGTCAATATAGATATTGCCTCTATCATCGGCATTACTCTAACTCAGCACAATAGCATTGAGAACTGGAATATACTGAGAAATCTTAATCGTCTGTCACTAGGTAAAGTGTTAATCATTAGAAACATCCGTCGCATATACAAACACAGGGTGGTCCACTGGTCCCCTCATGCCGCAAAGAAGTATGTTAATGTCGGCTATATAGGTTTCGGCATGCGTTGACCCAGTTGCAAGAATTTGCAACCTGGACTAGGTTTCGAATCCAGTGCGGCACGAACGTTGGCGAGGATTATTCTATGAACTCGTCAGATAAACTCGTCTTCGATGGACTCTTGAAAACGATAGCCCAGATTGTCTTTAATTTCTCAATAACGCATGGAAAATATCTGTAACGACTACGTTCAAAATATTCTGACCTCGAGATATGTAGTTCAACGAGGTCATAAGATTTTGAACTTACTCATCACAGATATCAAATTTAAGATGGAGATTGAAATTAAAGATGCAGAATTCGTCCTCAATGAACCATCCCTTAGCTCCAACGTCCACGAACAGGAACACTAAAACTACCGAGCACTTAAACCGTCTTTTCAAAATTTCCTTACAAAAGCTACAAGCGTGAATTTAAGATTTCAATTAGCTCGTATTTCAGTTCAGGTATTACTAAATCAGCTTCAATCGTTTCTTCAAAAGAAATTAGGAATTAGTCATTTTGAGCAACGTGGTAGTTATAGTGTTAAAGAGCTCACGACAGTAACGTGGAGGATCGTAAAAGCGTAAGGGTGTCGGCGATCATCGGCGTAACAGTTCGTGGCCCGTTCGATTTTTCGAGGGTGTAATTCACCTCGCCGATAATCGTTATCAACACGGTCGGAACGAGTCGACGCCGATTCGGTTTAACGGCGCGGCGCGGCGTGAAATAAAACGAAGATTGAGTCGAGCGTGGCGCCGAGTCCTATCGTGTTCTTTTCCGTGCCCAGTTCGAGAAGAGGAACGGTAGCCGTAGAACGGAGGTTGTCCACGATGTCATCCAAGTCGCCAATATCGCTGATTTGGTGAGTAGGAGAAGTCGTAGGCGGTCCTAAACCACGTTACAGTAATGCTCGCTTAAATTCCACGGTCCCGAGTCCCAGCAGTGGAATTCGACTCAGCAGAAAACACAGGAGGACGCTGTTTGCCTTAGGAATCGACTCGAGCACAGCCTGACAAAAGAAGAGAATCGATATAGTACACAGAATCAAAACGATACAATTGCAATTACCTTCTCCAATGTAGCACCAATGAATTTCTGAGATTGTCACGATTAAAACGAGTCCAAACACGATGGGGATCGGACCAGTTTTACCGAGTTGCTGTAATTAATGTAATTAACGGTTCATTACCAGCGAATTGATGAAACTAGAGCGATTCGCGTCGCGTTTGGGCTTATTTTAACGGGCGAGTGTCATTCCAGCGAGATCAGGTCTTCGTATTTGGAGGTATTCGCGAACAAATGATTTAGTTAGTGACACATCGACATTCCATTGGTGCTGAGAAGGTAAAGTTAGAATTATCGCCATTGAAACTTTCTTCGTCTCACATTCATATTTGACGTCTGTCTTGTATTCATTAGAAGACAATAAGTAGTAAGAGGATCGTCGTTATACCGCAGTGAAATTAAACCGAGCAGATTCCTGTTGAATTTAAGCGAGCACCACTGCACTCCATCGTTTCCACGGGCGTTCCTCCACGAAACGGTCTCTTCTTTTTGCTTGCAGTATTTCCGTATGTTGAACACTAGAGTCTCCGTGACGTACATCGAAACCTGGCAGGGCAAGAACCAGGCGGAAATTAATAAAGACATGGACATCGTGAACGCTCTGAAAAAGCTGAACGATTACGCGATGAGGAACATGTACCACGTGACGTTCGACACCGCCCAATTGCTTACGTGAGTAACAAAGCGCGACGTATTATCTTCTCGACGATATAAAACAAAATAATAAAAACGGGGAAACCTTCATCCATAGGGGCGACAGCTTCTCGGGCGGAGAATCGGGGGTAGCCGCGCCGTCGACCATATGCAAGCCCACAGCCGTAGGAATTAGCGTCGATTTAAACACTTACGAGCCTCACTTACTGGCTGGCACCATGGCGCACATGATCGGCCACAACATTGGCATGAACCATGACAATGACAGTTAGTATCTTACTGAGAGCGATCCACTATTCTCACCTGTAACATAAACCTATGGTTAGAATGGAGAATCATCCTAAACTATTATTATTAACTATTTCTGACCTTGCATGACCTTGAAGATCACTGTACATTGATGAATTTGTCTGGACATAAAAAAATGGTCAGCTTCATATTTAAAAAATAGTATAAACTCAAAGAGACTTCTAATAACAATGTCCATGGGATTGATTTCATTTTCATCATGTAAAATACAGGATTGCCACAGATATGACAGCGAGTGTGTCTGTACACAGGTGAATTTGTCTGGACATACTTAAAAAAATGGTCAGCTTCATATTTAAAAAATAGTATAAACTCAAAAAGACTTCTACTAACAATGTTAGGATTGATTTCATTTTCATCGTGCAAAATACAGGATTGCCACAGACAGTAGCGAGTGTGTCAACGTGTTAACAGAAAAGCCTAGTATTAGAGATAATTTGATCTAAAGTATTTCAGTGCCTTGAACGTTTGTTAGAAACAAAGATGCATCCATTCTCACGCTGTAATCTACCTGCACTGACCAAGGGAAACGATTTCCAGGGACCGACTGCGTGTGCCACGACTGGCACGGCTGCATCATGGCCCAGTCCATCGTCGGGCTGGACAACGTGCAGCCGTACAAATTCTCGGACTGCAGCAAAGCCGACTATGCGGAGATGCTGCAGCGGGGCGAAGGCGTTTGTCTTCTTAACAAACCAAACGAGGTAAGGTCCCCGGTCGATCCGGTCGAGCTGGTCTCTTGTCAACGTCTAATCCGTGTTTTCTCTGCCTCGGTCCTCCCGTTGCCCTGCGGAACGCAACGCACAGTTAGAGCTGAGGAAATTTTGCGGAAACAAGGTAATAGACGACGGGGAACAATGCGACTGCGGATCAATGGAGGAGTGCAAGGACCTCGATCCTTGCTGCGATCCGATCACCTGCAAGCTCAAGAGAGAAGCGCAGTGCGCGGCTGGACCATGCTGCAGCGACTGCAAGGTAACGTATCCTGCGTCAGGACACCGTTGCAGATAACCTGGCACTCATGTCTGAGTGGTCGGACTCGGTGCACGCTTTGTCCACGTGGATTCTCGGGTTTGGTGTGTGATTCGCTGGGGCACGCCGCGTCGTGAGTCAGAGGGGAAAGTGTTTTCTGGACTTGCGATTGGATGTTTTGGAGCTGGAGAAGGCGGCGGGCGGAGCTACCGTGCGACTGGCTCCGTCCATATGATGTGACGAGTGCCAGGTTCGCTGCAAGTGATGGTACCTCGTGTGGAGATCTTGATGTTTCCTCGAGGATCTTTTCTGCGAATCAAGATGTACGATAAGGAGAGATGGAAACAGTAGAGGCTCTGTTGATGACAAAAGGTTGATTTCTTATTGCATAATTGATATTTCCTGTGGTAGCTTTAGTGCTTTCATGCCTTGGATTGTATTCATAGTGGCTGTGGGGTGAGAGCTGTGTAGGAAATTGTTGCCATCATTGCAACTGACTTCCTCAAGGTTAAAGACACTGATACTGATGTGTGCCTAGGAAGACTATTATCTATATAATTAGGTACCTACATAAAGACAGCCTTTCTAATTGTGTCTTCCTAGTGTCTTTAACCTCTAATGAAATTGGAAACAATTTCCTACACGACTCTCAGCCAAAAGCCACTTATGAATATAATATTTGATATTGTTTGGAATAAAATATATATATATATAGAAGCATATACTTGATTGGCAAAAGGGTGAATTCGAAAGCCTATAAAACCACTGACTGAGATTCGTTGCGCAGTTGTTGGCTCCCGGAGTAGTCTGCCGGGAATCAACGAACGAATGCGACCTGCCGGAAGTCTGCTCGGGTCAAACAGGCCAGTGTCCACCGGATGTTTACAAAAAGAATGGGAACCCATGCTCGGACAACAAAGGGTACTGTTTCAACGGCGTCTGTCCGGCGCTGGATCTACAGTGCGAGCAGATCTGGGGATACGGCGGAATGGCGGCGGATATACGCTGCTTCGAGGTGTTCAACGCCAAAGGCTCGTTCACTGGACACTGCGGCACGGACAGGACGGACGGCCATTACATCAAATGCGAGATGGAGTAAGTAGTTCGACGGTTTACCCTCGGTTGGCCTGGAATAAAAATTGATTCCAATTGAGATACAATTGAGACACAAGGCTGTAGCTTTCTAAAATGTTTCTCTTCGTTCACTGTCCTCAGAAACGTGCGCTGCGGGTCGTTACACTGCCAGCAGGGTAGCAAGCAACCTGTGATCCTTGATATCGATCACTCGCGGATCATAATATCGAGCAAGAGCAAGGAATACGAGTGCAAGTAAGTGGTCCTCGGGGAAGTACACTCCTCTTGAAAGAGATGGGCCAGTGCTGTCTTTAATTTGTCAATGACGCATGGAAAATTTCATATGTGTGATGACTAGTTTGAAAATATTATCACCTCAAGATATCTGTTCATTAATTTCTCAATGAAGCATGGAAAATTTCACATGTGTGACAAGTAATTTGGAAATATTGTAACCTCAAGATATGGTCCATTAAAGGAACGTTCATTAATTTCTCAATGATGCATGGCAAATTTTACATGTGTGACTAGTTTGAAAATATTAAGATATGGTTCATTAATTTCTGAATGACGCATGGAAAATTTCACATGTGTGACAAGTAATTTGGAAATATTGTGACCTCAAGATATGGCTCATTGAAGGAACATTAATTAATTTCTCAATGATGCATGGGAAATTTTACATGTGTGACTAGTTTGAAAATATGATGACCTCAGAATATGGTTCATTGACCTGCATATCTCGAGGTGATAATATTTTCAAATTAGTCGTCACACATGTAAAATGTTGCATGCGTCATTGAGAAATTCAAGATAGGACACCTATCTTTTTGAAGAGGAGTGTAGGTCTGCCTTTTATTCGAGTAATCTGATTCGAACCAACGAATTCGACAGATCGATCTCCGGCAAAGTGGATGGCTCGGGACCACCTAGCATGGGATTGGTTCGCGACGGAACATCCTGCGGAGTTGATTTGGTAAGTTGTCGCGCGGACGACAAACAGATTATGTAAAGCGAACCGGGGAGCTGTTTGTTTTCGATCTGGCCGACAGCACCGTGTCAAACGTGACTCGTTTCAGGTGTGCGTGAACCAAACTTGCGTGAGCCTGTTCCCGCTCATAGACAAAGAGAAGTGTCCCACCAATCAGAACGACAACGAGTGCTCGGGCAACGGCGTAAGTGGCAGCTTAATATTCATGTTCTCAAAGTCGTCCTTCCTGCCATGGTGTTACAATGATTCATCGATCCTTAGAGATCTCTTTAAGATAAGAACGACTTCAACACTGACACTACTGAGCAATTGACTTGACTTAGAAACTTCTTGATTTACAATTCTTATGATTCCTCAATTGAATTGAATGAGTTCAATTGAAGATAATGGAGAAAATTGTAGTTACAGTTTTTTTAGGCGGTCGCCTAAGTGTTAAGTGCTCAGTAGTCTCAGTGTTCAGCATCAATAATAACAACAACCTATTCAACGAACACGCCGGCTGTTCCAGGTGTGCACGAACATGAACAAGTGCTACTGCAATCCAGGATGGGACGGACCAGACTGTTCCATACAGCAAGCTATCACCACGCCTCCACCCAAGGTCTTGAGCGAAACACCTGGTAAAAATAGGTCAAGTATTAAGATGAACAAGAAAGAGACCCCCTACGGTAAGTTGCGAATCGCCCGACTATCGGTGAACAACGATCGTTTAAACTAACATACTACCGGCGAGGATGAATGGCGAGAAATCGACAACGATCGCGTCGTTTCGATTTCTCTCCAAATTCTAGAATAAGCTCGAGAAACCCTAGATCACTGGCCACGATCATTATCGACAAGAAATTCAGAATCGAGGGAAGAATGAATGTTTCATAAACCAACGGATCAATAACGAACATAGCGGCCAGTGGTCCGGCTAAACGAACCGATTGAATTCATGATAAGGCGAAGAATAATTACCCGTTAGCCGCCTGATTATTTGGGGCCATACCATCAGCTGTGCACATAACACACGATGCGTTCCACCGTACCTTTATGTAACACGGGCCGATAAGCTCACTCAATTACACTTTTCCACAATACTCCATATACTATAATATTATATTGTATATTATATATTATATACTATACTATACTATACTATACTATACTATACTATACTATACTATACTATACTATACTATACTATACAATACTATACTATACTATACTATACTATACTATACTATATTATATTATATTATATTATATTATATTATATTATATCATATTATATTATATTACTCGCGACCCGCCGAGACAGAGGAACGATCGCATATCACAGATGAACAGGCTCGCTAGCTCGAGGCCACAACCGGCCACGTTCTCGCGATGACGCTTATCGGCTGGAAGGCTTCATCGGGGTGTCTCCGACTGGTCTTCAGCTTGTTTCCGAGTCGAACGAATACCATCGTACAGCTGAACGAGTTTGAAAAGATCGCTGCGTGGTCGATATCCCATGTCCAGAGAGCTTCGCGAATCTGAAAGAAATATGAAACGGTTATTTTGCATTCTTTATGCATCTGCGCGATTGATCAGTCTTCTTGGACAAGTGGGGAATGTAAAGCTTTCGTTAAACTCCATTCCCTGAACACTTTGCACTCGACAGGTGACTCAGTCATTTAATTTGATACAGAAAATCATACAATTCAGTATTTAACATTAATGTTTGTGCAATGTTGTCTATGTGTCAATAGAAGGCGTTGAAGATTTCTAGCGAACTTTCGAGTGCAAAGGGTTAGATCTCTGTAGAAGATTAGAATGAGTAGAATGAAAACAGGTTTCTCAACCTTCTCAGATTCGAGTCGCTTCCCCAGGGAACATTTCAGACTTACCACGCTGTACATCCAATATTTTTCAAGCCTGAAGAATCATCGAATGACTCGAAGTACTCGGCGAGGCTCGCTTGAATTTCACAGAGATCTGCTCGGCTAAATTTCACAGTACGCTCACTGTCTCGAACTCGATGCAACGAGAATTACCTCCTCAAATGTAGTACCAATGGATTGCTGAAAAATGTCTGATTAGAATGAGCCCAAACACGACGTGAATCTAGTCTCATCAATTCAATGGGAACGAACCGTTAATTACATTAATTACAGCAACTCGGTGAAACTGGTCCGATCCCCATCGTGTTTTGACTCATTTTAACCAGAACGATCTCAGAAATTCACTGACATTACATTCCAGGTGTCATCCAAATGACAATTGAAATTTCTTTCAAATTAATTTTCAAGAGACTCTGCCTATCTCCTATCCACTATATCGATTCTCTGTCTGTCTGTACCGAGTCAGTTCCTAGTAGGAAACAGCTTCCTCTTTCTCCGGCTGCGTGGATTCCACAGCAGAGACACGGCACTGTAAAATTTAAGCGAGCATCGGCACAGTTCTATATCGAAAGGCTTAAAGAATATTCCTACTCGCTAATCGTTCGCCCAGACGAGTGACTGAGTCTTCTTCATCCAAGTTCGTGCGGCTGATGGGCCATTGAACGAAACGATGGATTAGAGTCCGCACGAGTTCGGTCGGGGAGCGTTTCAGGGACAGCGGACCACGGTGCACCTCTATAGGAGGCTTGTTAAGCGCTCGAACTCTTCAGGGATTAGTCAACTCGGATCCTCGGCCAGCGTAACGTTCCTCGCGCGGTGGTTAGATTTGAAATAGATATACACTATTTGTTAATTCAATTCGCTAATTAAAAAAAAGAAAGATAGAGAAAAAACGAGACAGAGACAGAAGCTTTACGAAGGCAGAGGATCCAGTGTACAGTGATCGAATGTGATATCGGGGGCAAGTGTAGGATACGAAGTGATTGGTCGTTTCAGAAGGCACTAACAACACCCTTAGCACCGGGTGGATGGTAGTAATCCTGGTGGGTGTGGTCAAAGGAGTCTTCATTTCTTTTGCACTAATGGCTGTTTGCTACAGGTACAGTAGCAAAAATCACAGAGTGCTTGGAAACTGAGAACTCACTTGAGTATGTGGGTTCGAAGCCAACCACCTCTGTCTCTCGTTGTCAAGTATAATTTCGTGGCTAGCTGGATGATCAGGCATCGCACGCGGCCGTCAATGCTCTCATGATATATTGAATTCATCTTAGCC